GTCAGGAGTTCCAAGACCAGACTGGCCAACATGGTGAAATCCCATCTCTACTAAAAAAAAAAAAAATACAAAAATTAGCTGGGCATGGTAGCTTGTGCCTGTAATCCCAGCTACTTGGGAGGCTGAGGTAGGAGAAATGCTTGAATCGGGACCCAGGAGGCGGAGGTTGTGGTGAGCTGAGATTGAGCCACTGCACTCCAGCCTGGGCTACGAAGTGAGACTCCATCTCAAATAAATAAATAATAAATAATAATAATAAATTGGCCAGGAGCAGTGGCTCACACCTGTAATCCCAGCACAATGGAAGACCAAGGCAGGCAGATCACCTGAGGTCAGGAGTATGAGACCAGCCTGGCCAACATGGTGAAACCCATCTCTACTAGAAATACAAAAAACTTAGGTGGCCATAGTGGCGCACACCTGTAATCCCAAATACTCAGGAGGCAGAGGCAGGAGAATCGCTTGAACCTAGGAGGCGGAAGTCCACTGCACTCCGGCCTAAGCTATGCACCCTCTTCTGAAATTGTTACCTAGTACGCCAATAAAAGGATTTGGCCCCAGAGCAGCGGCTCACGCCTGTAATCTCAGCACTCTGGGGACTAAAGCAACACGATCGCTTGAGGTCGGGAGTTCGACGCTAGCCTAGACAACATATTGAGGCCCGTCTCTACAAAAAAAATTTAAAAATTAGCCGAGCTGGTGGTGTGTGCCTGTGGTCCCAGCTACTCCGGAGACTGAGGCAGGAGGATCGCTTGAGCCCGGGAGGTAGAGGGTGCAGTAAGCCGAGATCGCACCACTGCACTCCAGCCTACACGACACAGCAAGACCCTTTTAATAACAGGTTTTGTTGAGTGTCTCATTGATCCGGTCCCTCCCACGCCCCCTGTGCTTCACAAAAACGTCAAGTCCGAGCTCCCGGCCCGGCGCGGCAGCCTCCTCTTCCGCGGGCCTGGCCGGGGCTCGGGAGAAGGACGAGTTCCTTGGGGCCGGGAGTCACCAATCACACTCAGCCTGACATGGCAATGTTTCGGATACTTTGGGTAAAAATTAAATGTCTTACGAAAAATCCAGTCACCTCTTTCTCGATTTTTTTTACGGTGGCGTCTAGAACATTTTGTCAGCGCGAACTCCGTACCCGAGTGCCGTAATCACCTGCTCCCAGGGTGGGCAGGACGCGCACTGGCGGCGTCAGCGCGCGGGGCGTGCGTGAGAGCGCGCGGGCGTCAGGGGCGGGGGCGGGGCAGCGGGCGGGGCCAGCCGGCGTGGTGGCGGGAGCGCGCGCGCCATGGCCTGAGGCGTCAGGAAACAAGCGCGCGAGCGAACGGGCGGGGCAAGTCCGGGAAAAGGCGGGGCCGCAGCCCCGCCCCCGACTTCCGCCGCCTGCGGGTGAGACCGCCTACCATCCCCGGGCGCGCTTGGGCTTGTCGCCGGAGGCGTGATGGCCCGCCCCCAAGCCACGCCTCTGACCTATGAGAACTGGGCAGTCCCGCACCGACTGAGAGGAGCCTTCACTCTCGCAGGGGCTGGGCGTTCTGGGCGCAGTGCACCCTCTGTTGAACCTTAGAAGCTGCGCGGGGACCGGGCCTGCCGTTTCGCACCTGGCCGAAAGGGGTCGCTGTGCCGAGCCAGATCCTATGTAAATTTACCTGGATAATCTCAGCAAACGAAAATTAGCTGCAGTGCAAAGAAGCCAGGCTCCAAAGACTGGATTATTCCATTTACATGACATATTGTCACAGGTAAGACTATAGCAACAGAGAATTAGGTCAGTGGCTCTTATGGGCTGAAATTAACCACCAAGGGGCATGGGGGACATTGGAGATAAAGGAACCAATTCACATCTTTTTGTTTTTTAATTTTGCTTTCCTTTTATTCTTTTTTAAATCATATCTTGATCATAGTGGTGGATAGGAAACTATGCATTCGTCAAAACATGCAAAACCAAAAACCAGAAAGTGTGACTTTTACTAAATGTAACTACTTTTTTATTAATTTGTTTTTAAAGACAGATTCTTGCTCTCTTGCCCAGGATGGAGTGCAGTGGCTCCATCTCGGCTGACTGAAACCTCTGCCTACTGGGGGCAAGTGATTCTCCTGCCTCAGCCTCCCCAGTAGTTAGGACTACAGGCGAGCACCACCAGGCCCAGCTAATTATTGTATTTTTAGTAGAGACAGGGTTTCACCATGTTGGCCAGGCTGGTCTTGAACTTCTGAGCTCATGTGATCCACCTACCTTGGCCTCCCAAAGTGCTGGGATTATAGGTGTGAGCCACCGCGCCTGGCCAACTACTTTAACTTTTTTAAAAAAGATATTAAAACCAGAAAGCAGATAGGTGGTTGCTGGAGACTGGGAGGAGGGAGAAGGAGTGGCTGCTTAACGGAGGCATGTTGGACATGTTTTGGAACCAGGTAGGCTGTGTAACACTGAATGTATTAAGTGCCATTGAATTGTTCACTGTAAAATTCCAGGAAACTCTGCAGGCTCCTTTCTGTTAAGAGTTCATGTCCAGGCCGGGCGCGGTGGCTCACGCCTGTAATCCCAGCACTTTGGGAGGCCGAGGCAGGTGGATCACTAGGTCAAGAGATCGAGACCATCCTGGTCAACACGGTGAAACCCCGTCTCTACTAAAAATACAAAAAATCAGCTGGGCATGGTGGCACGTGCCTGTAATCCCAGCTACTCAGGAGGCTGGGGCAGGAGAATTGCCTGAACCCAGGAGGCGGAGGTTGCGGTGAGCCGAGATCGCGCCATTGCACTCCAGCCTGGGTAACAAGAGCGAAACTCCGTCTCAAAAAAAAAAAAAAAAAGAGTTCATGTCCATGTCATCATGGGGTGAGCTGTGACTCTGCCTTCTACTCTGGCCTCAGTCCCCAAGCACCCAGCACTGTGAGCATGAGGCATAGCAGAGGACCATGGCATAAATCGATCTCTAGCCATGGAAGATGGAAGATTGAAAGATTTAAAGGATCATGGCCCAGCCTGGGCAACATGGCCAAACCCTGTCTCTACAATAATATACAAAAAAATTAGCTGGCCAGGCATGGTGGCTCATCCTTGTAATCCCAGCATTTTGGGAGGCAGATCACCTGAGGTCAGGAGTTCAAGATAAGCCTGGCCAACATGGTGAAACTCTGTCTCTACTAAAAACACAAAAATTAGCTGGGCATGATGGCAGGTGCCTGTAGTCCCAGCTATGTGGCAGGCTAAGGAGGAAGAATCACTTGACCCTGGGAGGTGGAGCTGAGATCATATCATTACACTCCAGCCTGGGCAACACAGCAAGACTCTATCTTAAAAAAAAAAAAGCCAGGCTTGCTGATACAGGCCTGTAGGCCTGTAGTCCCAGCTACTAAGGAGGCTGAAGTGGGAGAATCACTTGAGACCAGGAGGTTAAGGTTACAGTGAACTATGATCACAACACAGTACTCCAGCCTGGCGACAGAGCAAGACTCCATTTCACATAAAAATAATAATAAAAATTTTAAAATAGCTAGGCGTGGTGGCTCATGCCTATAATCCCAGAACTTTGGGAGACCAAGATGGGCAGATCACTTGAGGTCAGGAGTTTGAGACCAGCCTGGCCAACATGGTGAAACCCTGTCTCTACTAAAAATATAAAAATTAGCCGAGCATGGTAGTGCACACCTATAGTCCCAGCTACTTGGGAGGCTGAGGTAGGAGGATAGCTTGAACCCAGGAGGTGGAGGTTGCAGTGAGCCAAGATCACACCACTGCACTCTAGCCTGGGCAACAAAGATTGTCTCAAAAACTAACAATAAAATAAAGGACCACACCGATCCCCAGTAGGATGCAATACCCTTGTGCTATTATCACCAATTTTCAGAAGAGGAAATTGAGGCTCAGAGGAAGTGGCTTGTCAGAGGTGGACCTGACCTCTGGCAGACCAATTCCAGGACCTGAGCACTTGAACACCATACCACAGTGGGGTGGGGGAGGGTGGAGGGGAGGGGGAGGGCGGTGGGGTTCCCCTTCTAGAGGAGGAGAGGATGAGGTTCAGAGAAGTTATGCAAGCCCAGGAAGTGGCAAAACCTAGGAATTAACCAAAGCCTGGGGATCAAGCAGGGCCCCTGACCACCTGTGTCCTTTTCCTGGCGTTTGGAATCAGTGGCTTGCTTGTTCCTTCTCTCAGCACCTCCCACCAAAGAGCCACTCCCCAACCCCAACGCCATCTTCCACCTTTTTGTTTTGAGATGGAGTTTCACTCTGTCTCCAGGCTGGAGTGCAGTGGCATGATCTCAGCTCACTGCAACCTCCGCCTCCCAGGTTCAAGTGATTCTCCTGCCTCAGCCTCCAGAGCAGCTGGGACTATAGGCATCTGCCAACACGCCCGGCAAAGTTTTGTATTTTTAGTAGACAGGGTTTCACCATGTTAGCCAGGATGGTCTCAATCTTTTGACCTCGTATTCTGCTCGCCTCGGCCTCCCAAAGTGCTGGGATTACAGGTGTGAGCCACCACGCTTGGCACATCTTCCATCTTTTTTTTTTTTTTTGGAGACGGAGTTTCGCTCTTGTTACCCAGGCTGGAGTGCAATGGCGCGATCTCGGCTCACTGCAACCTCCGCCTCCTGGGTTCAAGCAATTCTCCTGCCTCAGCCTGCTGAGTAGCTGGGATTACAGGCACGTGCCACCATGCCCAGCTAATTTTTTTTTTTTGTATTTTTAGTAGAGACGGGGTTTCACCATATTGACCAGGATGGTCTCGATCTCTTGACCTCGTGATCCACCCGCCTCGGCCTCCCAAAGTGCTGGGATTACAGGCGTGAGCCACCGCGCCCGGCCCATCTTCCATCTTTACAGAATACTCAGAGTAATCCCAGGGAACCTGAGGCTCCAATTTCTCATCCCAACACACAAGCTGAGGGAGTTACTATGCTCACACACCCCGTTCCCTTTGGAGGGCCCAAGGAGCCCCCGTACTCTAGACACAGTAGCCCTGCCCAGGGCTTCAGGCCAGCCCACACCCAGGAGACTCAGAATCTAAAAAACAAAGTACAAACTTTATTTTGTTTCTTTACAAAGGCACGGTGGCCTCTTGGTTTTTTTCTCCCCACTTTCTTAACAAAATATAATAGCTTCTCCTTGAACACGAAGACCTCAAAATTGTAATAAAAAAAAAAAGAAAAGAAAAGAAAAACGTAACAAAAACAAAAGGCAAAACCAAAAAAAAAAAAAAAAAAAAAAATACCAACAACAAACAAAACAAAAAGAAAGAGACAAAGACATTTTTTGGGTGGAAGATGAGACCCGGAGGCAGAGGTGGAGGCTGGGGGTGGGAGAGTAGAGAACTCTAGTGCCGAGATGGGGAGGGGGAGGGGAGCAGAGCAGCAGCGAACCCCAACCGAGAAGCAACGGAGACCCCTGGGCCCCCAGAACGCCCCAGCCCAGTCTGACCCCAACCCATGTAAGTGCTTAAAGGAGAAAGAACAACACCCAAACAGAGGAGGGAAAGGGGATTGAAGACTGACAATCCCAGGCTGGCTCTGGGCAGGGAAGAAATAACTTGGGGTTTTGTTTGATTTTCCCTGTTCTTAAAAAACATGTTTAAAGGAAAAAATGCTTTTTGGCAGAGAGAGGCAGGCACCTCAGTGTCAGCTTCCCCCAGCCCCCGGGGCCGAGGCCCAGCCCTGGGGTCCCGATGCTCCCACACGCTCTGAGCCATCCCAGCCCTGGGACCTCGGGTTGAGTGGCTTCGTTCAAAGGTTGATTTACAGTATTGAAAAAGAGGTCATAAAAGAGACCCAAATAACATCGTAATTTTGTAAAAATTTCTCACTCATTCACCCTCATCTCTCCCTGTGGCTGCCCCGGCTCCCTCGAGCCCCCAGAAGGGAGAGGAGGGCTGGGGGGGGTAGTCAGGGAAGCTCCCCGTCCCCTGACGGTTCCTCCCGGCTCTGGTCCATGGCTTCACTGTCTGAGGCCTCGGAGTCGGAGGCCGTGTCAGAGGTGGGGGCCTCCGGGCAGCTTCGGACCGGCTTCACGATGACAGCTCGCCTCTGCTCCTCCTCCAACTCCTGCTTTTCCTGGGTGCCCTCGATGTGCTGGATTGCCTGGACAGGGACGAACCAATGAGGAGGCTCGGCCGGGGACACACAGCCAGCCAGGAGGCAGTGGGGGCCCTCAGCCAGCCACTGTCTCCCCCAGAACACACATCCCAGAAATAAGCCTTGCAAAGCAGCAGGGGAGGCCCCCCAGACTCTATGAAAAACAAACTCTTTTTCCTTTTTTTTGGAGAGATCTCACTATATCACCCAGGCAAGAGTGAAGAGTGCAGTGCGCACGATCATAGCTCACTGCAGCCTCAGATTCCTGGGCTCAAGCGATCCTCCTACCTCTGCCTCCCTAATAGCTGGAACCACAGGAGTGCACCACCATCCCCAGCTAACTTTTGTATTGTTAGTAGAGACGAGGGGGTTCTTGCTATGTTTTCCAAGCTGACCTCAAGCTCCTGACCTCGGGCAATCTTCCTGCCGCAACCTCTCAAAGTGCTGGGATTACAGGCGTAAGCCACCATGCCCAGCCCAGGAACAGACTTTCAAAACTCTTCTGTTAAATTGAAACATCCATTCTGGGAAGCAACAATCCCAGTGCTGCTTAGAAATTATATGTTTCTTTCATATGTTTATGTTTGTTGTGTTTTTTGGAGACAGAGTCTCACTGTGTCACCCAGGCTGGAGTGCAGTGCTTCGATCTCAGCTCACTGCAACTTCCGCCTCCCAGGTCCAAGCGATTTTCCTGCCTCAGCCTCCCAAATAGCTGGGATTACAGGTGTGCACCACCATGCCCGGCTAATTTTCCTATTTTTGGTAGAGACAGGGTTTCATCCTGTTGGCAAGATGGTCTCGAACCCCTGACCTCAAGTGATCTGCCCACCTGGCCTCCCAAAGTGTTGGGATTCCAGGTGTGAGCCTCCCTGGAATATGTTTGTATATTTTAAAGCTTGCCTACTAATTTATTAAAGGCCTTTGTTATTAATTGCATTATGCAATATGCAAGGTTTATGAGCAACTGAAATTCAGGGAGATTGATGGATTTTTTTTTCCTGTCTTGCTTTTTTGGTTGGGTTATTTATTTACTTATTACTGATTTCTGAGGTTGGGTCCCTCAAGGGGCCTTATTCAAGGCTGAGTGCAACTATATACCCTCAGGCTTGAGCCACAGAGTTCCTCCTCCATAGGAGGCCCAACTGTCACCCACAGCCCTGACCCCTGTATCCCCATCCAGGTCCTCAGGGATGGAGGTGAGACAATGCTTCGGAAAACCCAGACTGTGGGAAAGGACCGTCTTCCCGGCCCACCCCTCCTGACAGGTAGGCCCTGGCCAGGTCTCTGGCCCTCATATTCTCCACTTGCAGATCCAGGGAGGGAGCCCCAAGGCTTCCAGCCTTCCACCCCCTCCCACCCAAGCACTATCTTCCTCCTCTACCACTCCTCATTTTCTAGTCTAAAGAAGAGAAAGAGCCTGTTCCCAGTGTATGACCCCTACAAGCTGCCCCTTTCCTGAGCCCAGGTACCTGCACGATGGTGTCCAGATTTTGCCGGGATGTGGAAACAGAGTTGATGACTGAGGAGGGGCCCATGGTGACAACGTTGATGTGGTGGGAGGGAGGGGGAGGCGGTGCCGGCACGATCACTGTGGGGTGGTGGGTGGGGGCAGGAGGGGGCAGGAGCTGCAAGACAGAAGCCCTCAGCCTTTCTCTCAAGCCTTCTCCCGGCCCATCCACCTCCCTTATTCATGCAGGGCCAGCCAGTGTATAACTCCCCAGCCCCATTTATGTTACGAAACAGAGATGAGACGGACTACAGAGAGGCTTCCAGCCATCCAACATCCCCTGCCCACTCCCCAATCCCCAGAGCCTGCTTCCAGGCGCCTCCTGCTCACCTGGGTCCGAAGGTGCTGCTGCTCCCGCTCCAGCTTCTCCTGGTGCAACAGCCTCACCTGTTCCTGCTGCTGCTGCAGCTGCACCTGCTGCGCAATCACCTTGAGCTTTTCTGGGTACATGTGGGCCTCCAGCGAGCGCACCTGGAGGCAGGACAGCCTCAGCTCAGGGGCAGGCCTGGGAGCACACCCTGCCCTGTCAGTCCCACAGCAGGTCATTCACTCCTGCTGAAAACCCTACCACCAGGCGGGCCCCCCTCAACAGAGGCCAGAGCATTTCCAAAGACCTTCAGCCCCTGCCTCATCTCACCTCCCACCTGAGCCTCCACTGTACCACTGGACCATGCTCCCTCCTGTCTGAGCCTCTGCCTATGCTGTTCCCTCTGCCGAGAATACCCTTTTCTGCCCTTTGGTTAATTATGAGACTCAACTTCCCACTTCCATTGAGACACTATGGGGCATCCCCACAGCTCCAGCCTGGCCTTCATCATGGTTAAGTGCTTTGTTTTTGCTTTTTGTTTTGAGACAGGGTCTCCCTCTGTCACCTAAGCTGGAGTGCAGTGGCACAATCACAGCTGACTGCAGCCTCCACCTCCTGGGCTTAAGCCATCCTCCCAGCTCAGCCTCCCAAGTAGCTGGGACCACAGATATGCACTACCACACCTAGCTTTTTGAGACAGGTGTCACTCTGTCACCCAGGCTGGAGTGCCATTGTGCGATCACCGCTCACTGCAGTCTCCACCTTCTGGGCTCAAGCAGTCCTCCCAGCTCAACCTCCTGAGCAGCTAGAACCACAGGCACACCCCACCACACCTGCCTAATTTTCATATATTTTTTGGTGAAGATAGGATCTCACTACGCTTCCCAGACTGGTCTCAAACACCTGGGCTCAAGTGATCCTCCCGCCTCAGCCCCACAAAGTGCTGGGATTACAGGTGTGAGCCACCATACCTAGCCCATCAGGGCTACATTTTTGAGGTCATTTGACTAATCTTCCCCACCGCAACGCAAACGGTGACCCCCGAGGGCAGGGACGTGTCTGGCTTGCTCCCCACTCCTAAGCCTGGCACCGCAGCAGGTGCTCCTGTAAATAGGGCTCAACTAAGGGCAGCAAAGCCTTAAGGGGGACCCCAGGCTCCTCTCCGCTGCACCACGCGCCGCGCCCAGCAGAGGGCGCTGTCTCACCTGCTCCTCCAGCATCATGCGCACCGAGCGTTCCTTGTCCAGCTGCTGCCGAAGCTCAATCATCTCCCGCCGCAAGTCCTCCGCCTTTTCGTCCTCCCAGATGTCCGGAGAGCCGATGCCTTCGTCCTTGTCCTCTGCCCGCCGTCGCTTGGGGGACGAGCCGCTCAGCTCCTGGGGACCCCAAGGAGTCGGTCAGTGTGCCTGACACCTCGGTACCACCACCACGGAGACTGGGGCTCCATCGCAGCCCCCTAAAGCTGCCCAACACAGGTGGATCTTCATTAGGGAGCCCTTCTGCAAGTCCAACAAACCAGCCAAATGCCAGGAGAATGGCTGCTGTCCAGAGCAATCACCTGGCTCATTCCAGAGCCCACTCCACCACACTAGACTGATGGGGAAACTGAGGCTTGGGCAGGAAAACAAGTGCCTGAAGTACTTGCCAGTGGGCAAGAAGGGGCCTGCAGCCACACCTGCATCGCAGGCCCATGGCTGGGTCCTGGGATGCCCATGCCAGGAGAGGGAGCCAGGAAGGAGGGCAGGGCGCACCTGGATGAAGCGCTTGAGCTGTGTATTCTGCTGCAAGAGCCTGGTCTTCTCCTGCTCCAGGGAGAAGATGTACTCGGCTGTCTGCTGGAGAATGGCTGCCTGAAGGCAGGGAAAAGCCAAGAGTCAAGCTGGCAATGTTTACCAGAGCTCACTTTCCTCTCCCAGAGGGAGTCTGCCGCCTCCTCCAGGAAGCCCTCCCTGCTCTCACCCACCTTGCTGAGCTTCTCTCCGTCTGTGTGGGGGATGAGGGTCTTGAGAGACTGAAAGCCCGCGTTGATGCTCTGCATGCGCCTCCGCTCGTTGCTGTTGGCGATCTCCCGTCGAATCCGCCGCTCCTGGTCCCGCTGAGTCTCCGGGGTCAGTGGAATGTTGGCAAGGCTGCCAGAGAGGACAGGAACAGGCTTGGCCAAAGCGCCCTCTTCATCATTCATCTCCAGAGGGCCCCAGTGGAACCTGCATCCCGCCCCTGCTGCAAAAGATGCCAGGCCACCCCCAGAGGGCGATGGAGGGGCTCTCTCTGGGACACCCAGGTGGACTGAGGGTAAGATAGTCTGCTCAGAGCCCAGCAAGGGCCAGGCACAGTGGCTCACACTTGTAATCCCAGTTATTTGTGAGGTCAAGGCCAAGGATCATTGAACCCAAGAGTTTGAGATCAGTCTAGGCAACCTGTCTCTACAAAAAATAAAATTAGCCAGGTACGGTGGTGCACGCCTGTAGTTCCAGCTACTCAGGAGGCTGAAGTGGGAGGGCTGCTTGACCCCACAGGTGGAGGCTGCAGGGAGCTATGATGGAGCCAGTGCACTTCTGGGCAACAGAGCAAGACCTTGTCTCAACAACAACAAAAACCCATCCCCTCCTTGGCTTCCCTCACAGGGAGCAGTTTCTCCTCCCCAACGGAATTCCCAGTGTGTCTGAGCATCAAAACACCTAGGAGCTTAGAAACTGTGCAGATGACGGGTGCTGGCCCCAGTGTCTGACTAGCAGGCCTGGTGAGACCCAGAAACCTGCATGGTGATTCTCATGCACGTGGGACGCCGACAACAGTCAGGGACGCTGTCCCGCCCCTGGGAGACTTCTGAGTGACCTGCTGGGCGCCTGGAGCGCCTCTTCAGCGTCTCAGGCTTTGAATCTCAGGACTGAGGAAGACGTCCCCACTCCCTTCCTACCCTCACGGCCACGCCTCCAGCTACAAGCCCCAGCCCCAGTATGCTGAGACTTCACACACCTCACACAGGACAAGACAGATACGACTCACTCCCCATAAAGACACGAAGCCAGCAACCCCTGCAGACAGTGCTCCCCTCAGCCCACCCACTCCAACAGACCCACCCTGTGCCGGAGAAGCAAGGCTCCCAGCACGCTGTGGGGAGCACTACCAACCCTTTGCAGGAGCAGCGGCCAGTGGAGTGAGAAGGCAGCCCTGGGGAAGAGGGCGTGGCTGCTGAGTGGGGCGGGGCTTCCGGCGGGGGCGGGGCGTGTGCGCCAGGGGGCGGGGCTGCGGGCCTGGGAGCAGAGGCAGCGGTTGTGGGCCCAAGGCCACGCTCCCGAGGGTTGGGCCTGTGTGTGGCCTGGAGGAGGCATGTCTCCCTCCTTGGACCTCCCCTGCAACTTCCCCCGCCCCTGGCCTGATGGTTTCCAGATGCTGGGCTCCCAGCAGAGGCCGCCGGCCCCACCCGAAGCCGCAGCCCCGGCTTCTTCCTGAGGGGCCCTCCCGGGGTGCCCTGTTCCAGGACTGGGCCTAGGGGGCTCACGCTCTTGAATCTGGGAGAACAGGGAAACGGCTCTGAGCAGCTCTTGCTCCATTGGCGGGGACAGTCTGGGGTCAAGGGGCTGCCAAGTCTAACTCCCCTGCTGTGGCCCCTACACCAATGGGTAGGTGGAAAAGAGTTTGCATGGACCCAAGAGAAAGCACATCTCCAACAGCTGGAAACAGCCGTTGCCTTCCTGGCCCCATCCATCCTGCCCCATCTGTCCAGCCTTGGCTCCCTGTGGGACCCTGGACGTATCCCCGCCCTTTCCTCGGCCTGGGCTTCCTCTCCCAACAGAGAGGTGGGCGACAAGTCTTCCGGCCTCATCAAGCCAAGCCTCTCCTCCATCAGGACCCTAAGTCCCACGGCCTGTCCTCAGGTTGTAAATCGCTCACAAGGCCTTGAAATGTCAGTGCGGCAAAGGGGGCCCAGGCCCCCCACTTTCCATGGGAGACTTTAGGATTCAGAGCAGGGAGGGGCATGGTTTTAGGCTCAGTCAGCTGGATGTCAGTGCCCTCACTTCTCCCACTTCCCCTGCCTGCAGTGGGGGTGACCGGGGCACTAGGGCAGGCCTGCTGCACAGCTGTGTGTGGCCCATCTTTGGGGTGGAGTCCAGGCTCCCAGGTCTGGCACAGCCTCAGACTACACCATCTCTGAGAGGCCAGCAGGCCAAGGGGACTAGGACTGCTCTGCAGTGGTGGCTTAAAGCTGGGGCTCTTTGCAGGTAAGAAGTGGGAAGAGATCTCCATAGGAAGCCACAACACAGGGTAAGTGCAATCTGGGGGCATCACCATTCCTACAGGAGAGATGTGGGGAGAGCCCCCTGCTCACCAGCCCCTGGGCCCCTCCCGGCAATGTCCAAAGGTCAGAGCTGACCAGGGCCTGGGGGTGAAAAACGAGCACTAAGTCCAGCCTTGGGCCACCTGAGAGCTGGCCCTCCTAGAGGGTCCACAACAGAGGAACACATCTTTTTTTTTAAGTTTTTGGCTAGGGCCGGGCACGGTGGCTCACGCCTGTAATCCCAGCACTTTGGGAGGCCGAGGTGGGTGGATCACGAGGTCAAGAGATCGAGACCATCCTGGTCAACATGGTGAAACCCCGTCTCTACTAAAAATACAAAACATTAGCTGGGCATGGTGGCACATGCCTGTAATCCCAGCTACTCAGGAGGCTGAGGCAGGAGAATTGCCTGAACCCAGGAGGCGGAGGTTGCGGTGAGCCGAGATCGCGCCATTGCACTCCAGCCTGGGTAACAAGAGCGAAAGTCTATCTCAAAAAAAAAAAAAAAAAGTTTTTGGCTAGAATATTCTCACTGAGTCAGATGGCCTGAAGACTTCTGTGTAAAGAGGGGGCACAGAGGCTTGGGTGGGGATCAGCTGCAGCAAGTGCTGGGACTTGAACCCTGACCCCAGGGCAGGCGTCCAGCCATAGAGCAGAATGAGCGCTGACCATCCCACAGAGCCAGATGCCCCAACCAGCAGATGACAGTTATCCCTGTAAAAGAGAGGACGAGGCCGGGCATGGTGGCTCACACCTATAATCCTAGCACTTTGGGAGGCCAAGGCAGAAGGATCCCTTGAGCTCTAGAGTTCAAGACCAGCCTGGGCAACATAGTGAGACCCCATTACCACAAAAAAAAATAAGAAATCATCTAGGCATGGTGGCATGTGCCTATTGTTCCAGCTACTCAGGAGGCTAAGGTGGGAGGATGGAATGAACACAGGAGGTTGAGGCTGTCGTGAGCTGTGATCATGTCACTGCACTCCAGCCTAGGTAACAGAGTGAGACCCTGTCTCAAAAAAAAAAAAAAAAAAAAAAAAAAAGGACCAGGCATTCAGAAAGCACTGTAATCATGTAACTCTTTTTATTATTCACAGACCTCATTTACATTTTTCCCTGCCTGATTCTCACGGAAACCCAGTGTGGTGGCTGACATTATAGTGAGCAAGCAGTGCAGGGTCCTGGAAGGGGAGGTGATACTCCCAAGGTCAGGCAGCCAGACCTGGCACAGCAGGCACCTGTAGATGCCAAAGCTCCCCTGCCCCACCCACTGAAGTGCCTCTAGTGACCCCTACTTCACACAGCCCACCAATTACCAGAAGCAGGGGGTGTGACTGCAGGCTCGGCCATCACTCCTGCCCTTCTGAACACACACGGGACCAAGCCCACAAGTGACTTGTCCAAGGTCACACCCAGCAGTAGGGCAGGGCAGGGTGTGAAAAAATGCACCCTCCTGCACCTTCCAGCCCAAGTCCCACCAACAACTCTGCTCTTAGGAGCTGACCCTCAGCCTCTTCTTTCCCTTCCCCACAAGGCAGCCCACTAACTGGGGAGGTCAAAGGAGACCCAGTTCCGAAAATCCCAGCCGGACGTTCCACAGGAAGAGGCGCTGGGGCTGGGATCAGGGGCCTGTGTTGCCTCCTCCTCTGCACTAGAATCTGCCAGCACAGCTTCTCCTGCCTCCGTCCTCTCCAAAGCCACCAGCCCAGTCTCCTGGCTCAGAAAACAGCTGCAGGCTAACCTAGTGCTTAACTTAGGTTAAGCACTTTCTTAAATCCGATAAAGCAAATTTCCCCCCAAAGCTACAGTTCCTCGTGGGGACCTGAATCTGCCACCAAGACCCTCAATTAATAACTCACCTAAATTGCCCTGGAAGTACCAGCAGACAGAGTCCTTTAATAGAATGCGTGCCAACCAGGGCTTCTGATTGGTGGAATAGGAGCTAACCAAGGGCTGTGATTGGTAGAGTGCCGGCTAACCAGGAATTCTTATTGGTGGAATGCTGGCCAACCCGGGCTTCCGATGGCTGACCACCCAGGGGTTCCTGTTGATGAATGTTGGTTAATTGAAATTTCCAGGTGATATTGCACGGGATAAAGTGGATTTTTCTGCAAATGCCTGAAAATTTCTGATAGCTCTTCCGGGGTTTTGCATTTACAGTTACGGTCTGTAAAGGTCCTACACACACAGTAAATAAAGATCCACTACCCTCTCCCTGGCCACTTCAGACTCCTATAGGTGAGAATCAAAGGTGGCAGAAGTCCATTGACTCCGAGGTTCTCTTTTTTTTTTTTTTTTTTTTAAGACAAAGTCTCCCTCTGTTCCCAGGCTGGAGTCCAGTGGTGCAATCTCAGCTCACTGCAATTTTGGCCTCTTGAGTTCAAGGGATTCTCATGCGTCAGCCTCCCGAGTAGCTGGGATTACAGGTACCCGCCACCAGGCCCAGCTAATTTTTGTATTTTTAGTAGAGACAGGGTTTCACCATGTTGGCCAGGCTGGTCTCTAACTCCTGACCTCAAATGATCCACCCACCTTGGCCTCCCAAAGTGCTGGGATTATAGGCATGAGCCACTGTGCCTGGCCACACCGAGGCTCTCTTAATTCTGGCAAGCCAGCCTCCTGTAGCCAACCTGGGGCTGCCCCAGACTCAGGAATAAGGCAGGTCACTGAGCAGCCAATGGCCAAGGAACAAAATCTGGGCACCAGCCTTGGATGCTAAGACCACAGCCGCCACCCCTACCACCACAGCACCCACAACATCTAACAAGACTGACACTGGCATCCCAACCAGACACTCGGGGGCATGGGCATGCCCATCAAGTCTAGATCTGTGCCAGGTACTTATCCCTCCTGCCCAGCCCAAGGCCAAGTACCCCCAGTCCCTCTGCACTTGCCTGCCCATTTCCAGCCTCAAACTGGCCACTGAGAACTTTCATTTCACACTGCCCTGAAGTAACTCACACACCTCAGAGTCACTTAATATTGACACAGTCAATGTGGATAATCCACATGGGATTCTCCCAAACCCAAAAGAGGAGTAAGACACTCATCCTTCTCTCACCTAATGAGCTAGAGGTTCTCGTCCATGCTCCATCCCCACTGCTGCAACACTACCCATCCATACTCTGCGCTCTAACCTGGCCAGTCTGATGCCATTCCCCTCGGTCCCAGAACACACCATGCCCAGGCTGTTCCCATCAGAAACATCCCAGCCTCCCTCCCTTCCCAAAGTTCCTCCAGCCCATCAGTGAGAATCCTGCACTGGGCTCAAGTGCAAAAGGTCCAGCCTTGCCACTTACTAGCTGTGGAACACCAAGCCCCACTTTCCCCCATCTGTAAAATATGAAACACTGCTTCATGTCACAAGGTCATGGTGAAGTTTAAAAGAGATCAAGAAAGGCCAAGAGTGGTGGCTTATGCCTGTAATCCCAGCTACTCAGGAAGCTGAGGCAGGAGAACTGCTTGAATGCAGGAGGCAGAGGTTGCCATGCACCAAGATCACACCACTGCACTCCAGCCTGTGCTAGAGTGAGACTCTGTCTCAAAAAAAAAAAACAAGGCTGGGCGCGGTCGCTCACACCTATAATCCCAGCACTTTGGGAGGCTGAGGTGGGTGGATCACGAGGTGAAGAGATCGAGACCATCCTGGTCAACATGGTGAAACCCCGTCTCTACTAAAAATACAAAAATTAGCTGGGCATGGTGGCGCACACCTGTAGTCCCAGGAGGCTGAGGTGGGAGAATTGCCTGAACCCAGGAGGCGGAGGTTGCGGTGAGCTGAGATCGTGCAATTGTACTCCAGCATGGATAACAAGAGCGAAACTCCGTCTCAAAAAAAAAAAAAACAACAACAAGATGCGGATGGAGACCACCATATACCTGCTTTTAAGACTCTGAATGTCAGCAGCCTGGCGCAGTGGCTCACATCTGTAATCCTAGCACTTTGGGAGGCCAATGTAGCTGGATCACCTGAGGTCAGGGATTCAAGACCAGCCTGGCCAGCCACCATGGTGAAACCCTGTCTCTACTAAAAATACAAAAATTGGCCAGGTGTGGTGGCATATGCCTGTAATCCCAGCTATTTGAGAGGCTGAGGCAGGAAAGTGACTTGAACTCAGGACGGGGAGGTTGCAGTGAGCCAAGACAGCAGCACTACACACCATTCTGGGTGACAGAGTGAGACTCCATCACACACAAAAAAAAAGACATTCAGTCTTTTTTTTTTGAGATGGAGTCTCGTATTACTGCCCAGGCTAGAGTGTAGTGGCGCCATCTCAGCTCCCTGCAACCTCTACCTCCCGGCTTCAAGCGATTCTCCTGACTAAGCCTCCAGAGTAGCTGGGATTACAGGCATGTACTACCATCCCAGCTTAATTTCTGTATTTTCAGTAGAGACAGGCTTTCACCATATTGGCCAGGTTGGTCTTAAACTCCGGACCTCATGATCTGCCCGCCTCGGCCTGCCAAAGTGCTGGGATTACAGGCGTGAGCCATCACGCCCAGTCCTGAGTGTCATTTTAAAAGCTACCAGGCACTTCCCATACCTATGGCTAATTTTCACAGGTGCATCTGTTTTCCAGGGCCTGAGAACCGTTAGGCGACGGGTCCAAACCTGCAGCTTTCGTGGGCAGCACTGTGCCCTACAGTACCCTCCGGTAGGCCTGGGAGACAGAAAGACAGGGAGATCTCTGCTGGTCACTGAGGCATGAAGCAAAGCCCACCAGCTTGACATGACCCAGAGAAGCAAAAACATCTGGCCAGAAGGTCCTGCCTGACACACACATTTGATCCCCAACAGGCTTCCTATCTTACCCTACTGAACATAAACAAATCCAGGCACCCCCAACTCCATGCCTAATGCACAGCTCACAATTGTCTTGCAATGGATGTCTCAGTGCCCTACCCTGGACGAAGGCCCTGCACCCTCAAGCCCTTGGTTATCAAGATCCAGCTATCCTGGGGGACTGCTGGCATCCTCCAAAGCGGGTCTTGGGGCAGGGATAAAGTGAAGCCAAATCTTAGGGGTCCCTAGGAGGACTCACCCAAGGCCCAGGCATGGCAGCCAGAGGGCCCCTCTGCCCTCACCCTGCCCAGGATCAGGCCCAGAATGTCCTCCCCAGCAGGCAAAGTGGCTCAACCATACCTCCACACTGCCCAGCCCAGCCCTACAGCAGCCTGCAACCCCAGG